AATCGAGATGATATTTAGGATATGCGTGGAGCAGGCCAGCTCGAAACCGATGAGGTACATTAATCCTTTCGATAACATCGATCCATTTAGTGATTGACATCGCGTGACTATCAAACCGGAGTACTTGCATAATTTCGGAAATTCTCCCCGGAGAAGAGGGACGATTTGGAATACCCAGGAGAGGAGGAGAAAATTTTCCAAGAAATCTAATCAAGTTCCGTGTCGCAGTATCAAATCGATGCTCCGTAACAAAATTACACTTGTTAACAACGGTATACATTTGTCGTTGAGCTTTGCGTATTAATTTGCATAAGATTGCCCGGCTTTTTTTTATATTACGATATGGATCGATATTGTCAAAATGGATTGCGCGCAAATTGGATACCTGGTCCGTCATAAGGCACGGCTCTCCTAAGCCCGCCCTGTCCTCTAATAGGGTGAAGGTGTTGCTGCTGCTCCAGGGGAGGTGGCTGGGTGCTTTGCAGCTGCAGATGAGGCTGCTGGGAGGATGGATAGTGGGTGGAAGCGTTTGTCGTGACGGAAGCGCTTCCTGGTAGCTGCTGATACTGGCTACTCTGATACTGACGAGGATGATGCAGGTGGTGATGGTGGGGGTGCGGATGCGAGTACGGAGTGCACCAGGTGTAACATTGCTGCCAAGAGGCGGTCGCGTCTGCACCGGCCATCCCCTCGCCATCCTCGTTACCCATTCGCGTCCAGCCGGAGGAATCCATTCTGGATTCGACAGTAGCTTTTTTTCTTATCGAATGTGCCGTACAGTGTGTTCGGTCTGAATAGTTTTCGCACAATCACTCGCTATTCAAAGCAGAATCGACATCGTGCCTGACCCTCGACCTGCGCTCCGTAGTTCGCTATTGTTTCGTGTGCAAACTCCACCAAATTGACCATCAATTCCGTTAATTCGCTCGTTATTTACGCACGTTTCGATATAATTTTTTTTATTGACTAAGTAGAGCGTACCTTTAATTATTTTAAAAATAATCATCGACGAGTCACGATGTAGTTAAAATTTTCTAAATTTCACCGGTCGGAAATTAACAAATGCATCATATTTGCTTCGTTCAGTTTCTCGCATTTCACAGTTTGCCATTGAATTGTCTACGAATCCTGCAAGCGATGCACAGAAATTAACAATTAAAATAGCTCTTTCGCGCAGATAGTCGTACATTGGTACTCTCCGTAATATTTCATCCGATCTCGCGAACAATAGCAGAGCAGAAATAAATTTAAAAACGCAATTGAATATAGTTGTCCCTCTACTTTTACGTTTTTATTACGTAAATAATATATAAATAATATATTGTATATAAATATAACAATACGAGAAATTTCTTTCAAACTAATCATCTCACTCGGAACATATAAAGCGAAAGTGTGAAAGTATTTCGCAGCATGCCAATCTCTTCTTCTTAAATATGACAGTAATTACATCACAGTGATGAAAGCAAGCGAGATAAAGCACATGAAATGTACATATCTTAATTTTTTTACGTTACTGAAGTCTACGGAAATTATAAGTATTAACTATCAAGAACATTGTAGCACTGTGTCTCACGAAATTATACGAGTCTTGCATTAACGTTTCGCGTACATTTCACATCATGTAAAAAAAAGAAAAAAAATACGAAACTCTACAGCTGGTCGAGATGAGGAAATGCAGGCATTAATTTTCTTTTATGCTATTGCGCGACTGAGACGGCAAATCGGATGTATTACGGGCGAGTGCAGCGTAAAGTGAGTAACACGGAAACTCATGACGACGAGGGAACAAGAGATACGTTCCGCCGTAACTGTCGATTATCTCCACGAAGAGAGGAGCTTCCGCTGCGAGCGATCTCTCGTTCGACGATTCACAACTTGATTTAAATTCGTCGCGTTGCCGCGCGAATTCGGCCAGCTTCAAATCTATCGACTGTCACTCCCGCGTCGCGGCCGGAATCGACGAGATCACAATCGCGACCCCGAAGAATTACAGGTGGATGCACCATAATGTCGAGAACGTGATGCGTCTCCCGGTATAACTGGCAGATTTACGCGCGCGGGTCCGATCGTCGCGGTCCGCGGAGAGGAGAGACTCGCGGCGCGTCGTCGCGAGGACCGTCGATGCAATTTCGTACGCACGCAACCCGAAGAGACTCGGCGATGACTGAGACGAGCGGAAGCTTCTCCTCCACCTCGAAACGAAAGAGGGTTGAGGGCACGAGGCGCGTCGGCGGCCGATGTCGGGGGATGTGCCCGGGTCCACGTGCATCGGCAGGCACGTTTCCCAGTCACGTGTTCGCCCACAACCCCGCTCGAGTACTTCTGCAAAGAGCGCCCCGGTGTTAATTCCGCGCCGTCAAATGAATACAGGTGAACGGTACCAAGATAAGGGCTCGTTTTCCCCTTCGACACGAATAGCACGCGTTCGAAATTATAACCGCGGCGGACGCAACAATTGTAAGCCGTCAAATGCCTTGTCTGCTATTTTCTAGAAACGATGTTTTGAAGCTCTCACATGTAGCGATATTAGACACGAGACCTTTAAAGTTTCGAGGGAAAATTCACGAAAGACAACTTGGCACGATACTGTCGCAGTCATTGATAGCCGATGTAACGGAAGTAAACGTCATCGGATTGCTCGCATACGTAGACCGTTCGCATACTTCCATTAATGTAAAAGCGACGCAACGCAGTCATTGCGTAACGCACCTATGTGTCGGTGTATCGATAATCCACGCATGAGATTGCTTTGATACTTGGCAGTTTATCGCCGGACACGTTGGGTTGTCGCAGGTCAGGTCAGGTCAACGTACTCGTACGTTCGTTCGTGCATACATCGTCCCCGGAATTTCTCTCGCTTCTAACGTCTCCTTATTCTTTTCACCTTGCATTTGCATCGCGCGCGCCCCAGCGCCGACCGCTTATAGATAAGCATCTTACACGCGTTCAGTAGTCGGTGATAAATATCAAGTATAACACACAGGCGGCTCGCGAATTTGCACGTATTGATTTCCAACATTTCCGATCAATTCGGAATTTACGCGGACAAGCTATGAATTCGTTTGCTTCCGTAAATAGAAATGTTAATCTGATTAATTGCCAAGATATCTAAAAATCGAGGAGGCGTTGACATAAAATTTCCGCGACGTTAAAATCGATTGAATCAGAGATTATAATTTATTTATTGTCCCTCATTGAATAGCTGCGCGATCTTCATTCATCGCGCTTAGAAGATCCTGCACAATGTCCCGTCGGTTCTGTCGAATTTAGAGTTAAATACGCGGTGTTCATTACGAGCTGTCTGAACCGCCAGGTCAATGAGCATTCTTCTCTTCGCCCATAACCGATCCATCAACTGCAGCAACGCCGAGCTACCTATGGACGTCGCGCGCATATCCCTTTGTATTTTCCGGTCGAGCGACGACCGTATCCCGGTAGACGTTGCTTAGACCCGGAGATTACGGCGTGGGCCGACTCTGTCGTGCGTGGTGCCGCATTTGTTTCTCCTCCGATCGATGATTGGGGCAGATGGGTCGGATGGGCCATCGCCTGCCATGCGACAGATAAAAGTCCCCCTCGTCCCTCCCGTACGGACGGGGCGATTAAAATATAAATTGATCTGGCGATTCCCCGTTCGTCTCCGCCACGCATGAGGTAATTCTCCCATCGCTTCTATTGTCGTCGCTGTATCGCGACTCGCGCAACAATTCGCCTTTGCGTCGCAACTTGTCGCGTATTCGAATAGAAAAAAAAGTTAAAAAAAGGTAGGGACTGTTTAATTCTTAAATCTTACAGAGTGTTTGATTGTGACCGTGAAAGGAAGCTTCCTTTAGTTAAACCGATTAAACTAATCTCTGGAGATAATTCGCGACTGATCCTCGCGCTCGGCTGGCGACAAGAATCGATATTGTGACAGCAGTAATGTGTCAGATTCGTGCGAAAGGTTCAGGCCGATATGGCACGCTTAACATTTTCACTTTGTTTCGTACCGCGATAATTGCGCAACCATTTCTAAATTGCGACCAACAGCTAAGGAGAGCAAACCGCCACCCTCGCCCCTTTCACGCGTTTACTTGGCATTTAACGATCCCCACCTAGTCGCGCCACCCGCGAAGCCACCCTCGGTAGAAATTCCCGTCGCAGCTCACGTGTTACGCCACGTGAATCGCGCTGCATCTAATAAGAGCGCACGTGGGCGCCCGTTTCCGATGCCGATTCTCCATAACTGCATCCCGGGTATCTCCGAGTTATTAGAGGTCACGTGTCATTTATATCGCGTTTCCAATTTTCAAAAGCCAGGATTATCCCCGTAAAAAGAAAACGAAGCTCCCTGTTCCTCCGGGAGGAGGCTCTCGTCGCGAAATTACGAGCGCGAAAGCGCACGTCGGAGAGGCAATCTCGGCGCGGGCGCGCCTAGAAACATCCGTGTCCGGCTCGGCAGTGCCGAAGGTCGCGCTGCACCGCAAGCGTAACGTAGTAATTACCTTTTTAATCGACACGTAGAAACACTATTTCTCACGACGAATGCAAACGCGATAGAAATGTTACACCAAGATAAGATCGATCCAATTCAGTTAACCAGACAATCTCATTTGGGGAGAAAAAGATACAATCATTGTTACGTTTAAGAACTTACCGTGAAAAATAATTTGTCGTCGAAATTAGATTTATAACTGCTCGTCACACGGTGTACTAATTACTATTAGATCTTTCGGTTCGCATTACGTTTTACGTTCGCCTACTAGCAGTCACGCAGTCCACTTTAATCTCTATCTGGGTGGCATGCGATTAAAAAAAAAAGAAAATTCTCATTCGCACGCACGACAATATAGAGATGCGTGAACAAAGCTCGCGTGGTTCGAGCGTGAAAAACAGATTTCTAGTTCCGCGAAGCGTTAAAGGCTGGGAGACTGACGATCTTGTACGTCGTACCAAACGAATCGTGAAGCTGCGCGCGCCTTTCGCTTCCGGTTCACCGATCTCTCCACATTCGTTAAGCCACCTTCTCGGTCCCCGGCCGAGTCGGCCCGACATTTATGCGGCCGAGGCACTTTCGCTCGGCCGCGTCGGGCCGGCTCGCCTCGATATTATGAATTCATCTTTACAGCAATAATAATCTCGTAAGAGGCGCGCGATGATTACGCTCTAAATCCTCGCGCGCCCGTCTCGCTGACATTAATACAAGCTCGCGGGGATCAGCGGTCCAAGAATTTTCCGAATTTCTGAAAAGGGAGAAAGCGTCCGCGGCGCGCGATGTTTGCAAACGATCCTTTTTATCAGTGTTTATCGCATTTATGAATATCGCCCCCGTATTCACGAATTCTCGCAACAAAGTTCGTACAATATTCTTGACGTCAGGCATTCGCCGCGTAATGATTAAAAAACATGTCGCTCAGTTTGATTGCTTTTTAAGGATGTAATCTTTTTTTTTCTCTCGGTCCCACGATTTCGTCACAAAAATCCGCGAGGAAGTGACGGTACGATTATGGTAAAGGTTTTTGCCTGTCCACGGACGACGCATCGTTATTCGTGATCTCTGCTCCGAAACGGTGTTTACAGAATGCACGGTAATAAGAAATTCATGGCTTCCTTCTTTTCATTCATAGGCAGCGCAATCATTTTCCCTCGCGAAGCTGATTATTCAGTAAGGTCTCCTTGACCGTCCCGATTGTTCCCCGTGCACATTCTCGCGTGCTGCAAGGTCGAAAATGCTAACAATGGGCACACGTTAACGGCGTGCACTTACGCACGCGCGCGTCGTGAAATAGTAAAAATATTTCCTGCTACATAAATTAATTCTCTGCCGCTCCTGTCAGTTTGGAGAACCTATGTGTCTTGCGCAGACAGCGCGGCATTTATGAGCGTATGATGATTGCCATCTCTTGAAACGGAGAGAATTTATTTTCTAATCGTCGCATCGATCAATCATATATTATATCTATTATACTCGGCACTTTTACCACTTGAAACTCTAAACGGATCCAAGTAAATTACAGTATAAGAGCGCGACTGTGAGCAGCGCAGATACGGTAAAATTTTTACTAGAGCTAGTTTCCATCGCTATTGAGCACATAACATTGATACACCGGCAGTAATCATCATTTGCACGGGAACGCGCGCGTGTGTCGCGTGTGACAAACGCGCAGCACACGACACATCGACGGTCTCCAACGCTTATGTGTGCGATCCGTATGTCCGGTGCCCTTGCACGCGCAGGTGAATGCTTGGAGAACGCATATGTATCGTCTCTCTCTCTCTCTGGCAATTTATACATAGATAATTTCCTTCTCATGCGTCTCCACGTGCGCTGAAAAACCCCATTGTCACGACCTTTCGTCGCACGCTTTTATCAGTTATTTCTCATAGTTTCGGAACGTGCAGGTTTATATTTAAATATCACTGCCAGGCATTTAAATATCACTACCGGGGCGAGAGTAGGATAAGAAAACAAGAGTGGCAGGGAAGCTATCGGGTCCAGGCATTGACGATTTCTGCGTTATCGTTGCGAGCATGGTATCGGTGACGGACTTTCGGCGAAGCCAATTCTCTTGAAGCGGTACCAGATGCCGGCAGAGTCTATACGTGATCCGTGCTGCACTCTGCAGGAACTTGCTCTAACGCGATGTACCGAAGGATCTTTCAGCACTCTCGAGTCGAATTTAATTTTTAAACGACAGCTCACGAGACTACTGAAAAAGAGATAGCCATTTTTCTATATTTTTGTCACGTGGAAATTCTTGGGACAATTTATTAAGCTGTCTCTGTAACGAAAATCTTGAGGTGCCAAGTAAACGTAGGAAGAAATGCATTTCAGAAATACGTAAAGTAGACTTTTCCGGTAGAATAAGACTGTCCAGTCGAGATTATTATTATAAGTTTTTAAACGCTAAATTATTTTGTGTTTTTGAAACAAGATGATTAAAAAGTTTACTGTCCTAAAGGTTTTGTTAAGAGAGAATGTCGTCTTTCGATTCTACAAATATGAAAAGGAAACGTGGCAATATTGAAACACTCTGTATGAATAGCAACACAATTTACATATCAATGAATACGCGCCAGGAACAATGCATATTTATTCGTTTTTAGTCACATGACAGGTTACGATAAATCATTCACGATATTCGTAATTGTATTGCAAATATTTTAGAAATCGATCGGTCATTCTTCACAAACTGTGATCGCATTTGCAACATAAATAAGTCTAATAAAACATAGGTATCTGCCAGTCCACCGTAACTGCAACACTATCGATAAGATGATAAGTCGCTTCCGTCGATTTTCGCGATAAGACAGGCGAACCTTTCTTTATCATACCATATCGTGTAATAAGAAAATCGACTGATAATTTAAACACATGCGCGCCCCCAAATATACAAAATGCCTATAAAATTCTTATACGTATGAATAGATTTTGGTGCCGCTTTAATAAATTGACAAAATAGTATATTTCTAGAATAAGATACGCGTTTGTCATGTCAATTATGTTTCACACAAAAAAAACACGATATATCGACGATGAATTTCGATATATTTTATTGCAAGATAATAATGTAGCCACTAGTCCGGCATCGCCTTGATCAGGAGATTCAAATAGCCGGAAGAGAACTATATTTACAAAGGTATAAGAAAAGAATTCCGAGCTGTCACGGCGCAAACGTCTGACATGCTACTCTGGTGCCATTTTGCGCTGTTGTATTTCTGTTCAAGATAGCGGCAGAAAAAGAGCGAGGGAAGAAGAGAATGAAGGAACAAGCATGTTCTACAAATAGACATTTTGGTGTAATGTACTTTCTTTCTTGTAATAATGACTTTATGATGCTAATTGAAATTTATTCTAAACGTAATGAAATTAAATTGTTGCGAAATATGATTGAAAAGCAATTTTATCCGAAACCTGAGGAGCTCAATATTCTAAAACTCGGAAATCAGAATAATGTATAATAGCTAAACGTAAAATAGTTATTTAGAGTTATTGAAAACTAATTTAACTTGAAGGGATAAGTTATTTTCTACCATAAAAATTTTTGAATGCATGATATAATGTAATTTACTTCAATGATTTTTCTTGCTGCTATCAAAGTGGCGATGTAAATATTGATTTAAGTGCGCCGATTGCTAACGAACTCGAAACATTTTAGTCATTGAGCAGATATGTCCGATTCGACCGTAATTTATTCGCCTCGGCGAAGACTTTTATTGCTGTACTTTGATTGTAAGTCCGGTTATGAGTCCACGCCAGATAGGCAGGAACGAAGTTCAAGGGAAACTGGTAAAGAACGTATAGGCGAATTAATTAAAATTTTTTTTCGAGAAAGCGAGAATACTCTTATTCTATATGAGGTCTGTAATAACATTTCAACATGTTTGTTGCAGTTAATATCCACTACAGCATATAATTTAGAAAAGATTCATTCATTTATCGCACTTCGATTAAAAAATCGAAAAAACGACGACGTAGAAAAAAAACACAAAAGTGACGATCATTTCCCTTGGATACCGTTTCGTTGACGTCAATGAAAATTTCGCGTGCCAAATTAGAATTATCAGTAAAACAATGCGGGGAATTTAAAATGATTTAGAGTACATATTTTACTGTGCCGTTTGTATCTCATGGATTGCGATACGTGTTCTCGGAAAGGAATTGCAAATACATTCCTGCCAAATTGTACGCAACGCAGGTAGATATCCCCTACGTTTAAGTAGACCCTCCGACGTCATTTGGTCCTACCGTTTCGATCCCCGTATAAAAATGCTTTCAGCGAAATTAATATTTATGCAAATAGTAGAACTTTTTCGCCGTTTTCGCGTGTGTTTTCGATGAGTAATATTATCGACAATAAAACTTATCAAGATGACGCAATCGTGCATACAAAGTATACTAATGAATATTTGTTAAAAGCAGACATGCCTGCTAGACGGACTCCAAAGGTCGAGGCCCTGGTTGTAAACGCTATACGTAGGCTGCAAGATGTGCAAGGCTCGACATCGCGAGAAATTAGTAACTATATTTCCCAGGAGTACAATGTTCCTATCGAGGAGACCAGGCAGCAGGTCCAGTTCGCTTTACGACGCGGGTTGTCCTATGGGATTCTTAAGTGTTCAAAGGGGTAATTTGATGCGAATTCCCATTAATTGTCGACAATCAAACGGTCCCGGTAATTTTATTTCTCGTAGTTAATTTAAGGCACGCCAGATTGCAACGAGCATCCCGTTAATACTCGGTTAAACAATGGTAGTACTAAACGCTTTACTCGGGCGGAAGTTATTTTGAAAATTAAGCTGTACGTGTTTTGACTTCTCGAGAATTGTGAAGAATCACGAGAGTGGCGTTGAGCATCGCGTTAATACATTGGACGTATTTACGATGTTATATTTTCTGCACTACAAAAAACTCGCTTATCAATGCCAATGATAAAGCCGCCGGGTCAAAAATAAAGCGCAATAGATTAAGTCACGATTACGAAGGCGATACGTGACCCACTTCGTGAAAAAATATTTTGAAGATCGCGCCCGCACACATTGTTCTCACTTGATCAAATAACCGTTGTGTCACACTCTGCGTGATGGTGTAACGTGATGTAATATGCGTTGATAAAGACACTTAATTTAGCCATTATAAAGACTTTAAGTCTGACCTCCAAATGCTGAATATAACTAAGCATATCTATATAAGAAGAGATTTCTGCGCGTAAACTATCCCTCGATGCGTGTATACGTCGCTCATTTACGACAAAAGCTCTGGGACGTCGAATGCGAAGGCGACTGTAGTAATTTATCATAATTTACGCTAGATAGTGATTATTAGTGGTACTAAAACATTCCACTGACATTCTTCTCAGAGGATACTATTCGTGCAATCGCGACTACCTCGGGCAGTTCTCGTTAGAGAATGGCATGGGTGATGGGGTGATGGAACCTTGTCCACTACAACCTTGGCGAAAGCGCGGAATCGAAAGATGGAGACGAAAAATGAAGAGGAGAAAAAGAGAAGCAAGAGAGCGGTCAAGAAAGAGAAGAGAAGAAGAGAGGAGAAAAAAAGGAAGAGGAAGAAGAAGCAGAGGGAGAAGCAGAAGTACGCGAAGAAGAGGAAAGCGACGTAGACGCGCTAGCACAAGAAGGCGTTCTTCTCGAAGACGTCGAAGAGGAAGACGAAGCAGAAGTAGAAGAAGAGGAGGAAGAGGAAGAAAAAGCGTAGGAAGAGCTAGAACACGCACTGATCTCGCCGAGATAGAAACGGAGACGACGTCTCCGGAGCTGAGGAGGAACGACAGGGCAGACGAGGATCCCAATAAAAGCGAAACGTCTATATCCCAACATTCGGACGAACGGCATTCACAAAACTCTCTTCAACATTCTCAATCCTTAGGCACGCCCGATAACAATTAGAAATTAATATAAAATTATGATTTTTTGTGCAGGAAGATAAGTACAAATAGCGTATACATAGTTCATAGTGAGAGAATTATTCGCTCATTTATTCGCGATACGAGATCAAAATTGAATTTTACAGATATACAAATTTATGTTATGATTGCTCAAATGTCCGCAATAGCGTACTTTACCATTGCATCTTTACACAAATTTTGAGATCTCGTGTATTTATATGTACTCTTTTATTCTGAAATTTTGTGTACGCCATATTAATTATTACAATTGTCTCTCCATACGGACGTTTCTAATTCCTGTGATGTATTGCGAGAAGAAAGAAACACGATCGTGAGATTATACGAAATTACGCCGTCCGTCACACGGCGCGAAATCCGAGCCTCCTGAGAAACAAACGCATTGAACGCGGGGGTCCGTGGCATCTGTCGACAGCCCTGAACGCGGCCTTGCCGGCTAATGATAGTCGCGCTAATGACGAGTCTGCACACGCATGTATGCGCGCACCGCGTGACTATTTCGCCTAGCAACTCTAGGACTAGACGCAAGACGCGTCGCGGCGGATCGCAGCGGTGTTTTGCCCCGCCGCGACGCCAGCTGTGAATGATAAGTGCATGCGTGTGCGACGCGTATGCAAATTACGTTCCAGAACGAGCTGACGATATTTTAGAGGCAGGTTCTTTCGACGGGCACCAAATCGATCTCTGCTTTCCGGGATAGCAATTTTTCGGGTATAGAACACTGTGCGATTTAAATTCCATAAAATTATTCCGCGCGAGGTGGTCCCCCCATAATTTTCGGCCCTCCAACAATTTCGAGCGCAGTCCTGTAACGTCGTATATATTCAAACCAAAATTGAATCTCGAGTTTACACATTTACGCTTGTGCATTCACCGAGTTTACGTCAATTCGCCATTTACCGCATCTCACGTTATCTTGGGTGGAATTGTTATCATGTCGATTCATTATTTCATTCACAGGAATGTACATTCCGGTGGGGAATCTTGGTTTAAATGACGAAGAGCGACCGAACGGTCCTTACCATTTTGTTTATATGCAGTATCAGGAGCCGGTAGAATTATTAATTTGATAAGGCACTTTTTATCTCTAGTCCGCTGTACTTGCGTCGACTTCCAACAGAAGCCTCGATATTCCGATCCTAAGGCTTCGCCTTCCAATACTAGTGCGATTTGTATAATTAACTTTTTCCTCATACATTATTAGCGGACTTACGATTAGCTGACCAACAGACCGTGATTAACAGAGAGTAATTTTTACGTCGTACCTACGGGACAGTTAATGAACGGTTTCGCATTCGGATTAGCTCGGCTATTAATTGCTTATCTATTGATAAAAAAGCTAAACGTGTTTTAGAAGAGGCATTATTATTATATCTAACGAACAACGATATCGAATCATCGTCGCTATTTCAGCCTGTCGCTCTTTTGCATGCCGCGAATGTAGAAAATAGCTCTCGGAGCGATCTCTCGGAAAATAGGTCTACCAAAGACCGATTGTGTACGGTAGTATAACCCGTCGGTATACGGTGATGATTAAGTGACATACACCAGCGCGATGAAAGCAGTTTATCACGGGACTAATCACACGCTGTCGCCATACTCATTGTGCCGAACGCTAATTAAACATTTACACTTGTGTTTCGACAAGTGTACGGCTCGAGGAGAGGCTCGAAAATCAGTATAATTTCAGGCCGATCTTGGGTGTTACGTAGAGCGATAAGAATAATAAACAAGACTTCTCTATACACGTACTACATGATCGTGGATCGAACTAACTGGATCGCCGGTGAAGTTGTTCGCGCCGCGACGAAAACACCATTTGTCTACTTGATCTAATAGCGGAGAGATCGTCCCTTCGTTTTCCCTCAAAGAAGCGTATCGGGAGAGGGACGGGAGAAGAGAGAAAGAGAGACAGACCGTCGTTTCGCCGCGAAACCGAAAATACTCATGTCGGCCGGTATGTTGAAACCTGGCATAAGTTCTGGCGGGTTGCCAGAAAAGCGGTACTCGCTTGGAGGCCACGCCAGGCCACGAGCGCGATCGGCCTCAGCCCGAATCTTTAACTAGACGTAGAGGAGGATCGTCTTGGAAAAAATCGCGGATCGATCGGGTGACAGGAATATTTTATCGACTTTTACTAACGTATTGTCTTCGGTCTAAGACCGATCGATAATTTAATATTCGGCGAGTATCTCCAGACAATCTCTTACCTAAAATTTACATCCTTAACGCGCGCAAGTTTACCTGTTATGTGGGAGAGTCGTAAGACTTATCTAAATTAATACCCGTTGAAACTGGAACACTTTAACGTTCCACCGTATCGATAAGTTTATTGTTCCGCGAACAATTTCCTAGCGAGATAAATCTCGGCTAACTCGCAAGTCGTGGAAGAAATGGATAACAGGATAAGTTAGGCTTATCGTTTGCCATTAATTAAGCAATTCTTAAGATTACAATGGACACTTCAGAGAATGACACAATTTTCTACGACACCATTAGAAAAATCTTCGCGGTTGAGTACCTCAACGAGAATCGAGCGAGCGACACGTGCTAACGAGCGAAATCGCGCGGTGCTAAACGCTTCTCAAGACTCGCAGATATCGCGAGGGACCTTGAAGTTAGAGATGTACCAAGGCTCGACAAATAATCTTTCCAATTGGCCTGCGGGTAATAATAGTGAGACATAAGAAAAATTTGGGGAATAATTGTTTGACATCGTTTTACATAATATCGCTCTGTTCCTTCGCAAGAAATTGGCAGATTTAGAAGGATGGATAAGAAATAATTTCGTGAAACTGGATTTTTACAATTACGACAAATAACAGCAGTGACGATAAACGAGCGTTTTATTTCATCTGGCGTATGATAAAACAAAATTCATTGCACGCAATGTGTTTTAATCCTTTTTAATTGATTAAGTGAATTTTATCAGGCTGAAATAAGTGGAGTAAGACAAAAATAAGAACTTTTCAGAGCCAATTATAATCGCGAAGAGAAGCGATTCGTGTCTCGTTAAAATGAACTTGTGTCTATTTTTTTTAATCAAGAATTTAATTTTTACAAGACGCGATCCTAGAAATTGTCGACGGGAAACGAAGTAATTAACCTTTACCTTGATCTCCGTACGTTCGAACGATTTAAAACGGCATCGAAAACCGACTGTCGGCGAATGGCAGATGTTGGAGCCAACTTGGACCGACCAGGCGGCATCTGGTGCACCATAAAGTTGGCACTATTATAACTATTATGCGTGGCCCGAAGAACGATTGCGGAGGTGTACGCTTCGCGAGCCAATTGTTTTTTCTCCCATCATATTAATAAAACCCCAAATGATCTCGCGCTACATGCCGGCCGGTTTCGTCAAAGCGCGATATATCCGAACAACGGACATCTTCCGTGCGCCAAAATTGTTATCAGATAACGTTGTGCTTTTAGTAGATTGCTGAAAACAACGTCTGTCCACAGTGGCAATATATTAAATGAACATTTTATCGTATTATTCGTAGGAATATTGATAATAACTATCGCAATAAGAATGGACATGGCAGCTGATTGAAACGCGATCGGCGTAAAATATAAATTAAATATTAGATCGCGCTGATTATTTCCTTAGCTGCGTCGCACGCGAAGCATGGCTCGACCGTGCCAAGCCATATTCAAGTTGCCGGTACTCTTTTCTGGTCTTCCAGCCTATCCATCAAGCGGATTGACGTGTGTACGGTCCTGGTACGCCAAAAATAATCGCCCAACATATTGTAAAAGAGCACGAACTACACTAGAGGAACGGGCCGTGACGCCAGTGCTAAACTTTCGACGCGGTTCATCTGCCGATAATTACCGAAAGCGAGAGATACACTCAAATGTACCGAGTCTTTGCCGCTCGATCTCATTATCAAATCATAGCTTTTTTTGCTAAGTATATTATAAAACTTTCGACGTGGTTCATCTGCCGATAATTATTAAAAGCGAGAGATACGCTCAAATGTACGGAGTCTTTGCCGCTCGATCCTATTATCAAACCATAGCTTTTTTCCTAAGTATATTATAAAATAATCCCATATTTTGCGAAATGTCTATGTGACTAAAAGACGTTATTGTCGTCGTGATGATTTATGACCTAGATGTGATTATTGCTGTCAAATTATGCAATTCCGTCTAATTAAATCAAGTACTTTTTAGTCGATCTTTGATACGAAAACAGAAACGATTTGACATATCGTGCGCGATCTTTTTTGTAAATCCTTGAAATTACTTGCAGGGGTCAGGGTGTGTTTGAGAAAATGACGTTGCAAATTTCGCGGACGAGAAATTCGTTACAAAAACTGTATTTTCAACTGCTAATGATTGATAGCTTCGAAAATGAAATATGAGATTTCATTACGGCAGCAACACATGCTGAATACAATTTTTTCGGCTATGCCGCAGGCACGCTAAATATAGTATCTTGAAAAGGATAAGTCGGGACCAAAAAGTCGTGAGACATTAAAAACGGTATCCTCTTCTTCACGTAGAGGCGTGCATTTGTCAAAAACACTTTATTACAATCGCAGATTTATCTTTTGGCAAGAAATGAAAATTATAAATAGTATTAGCACAACTCATTTGTGTAATAATAGCTCAGGACTGATTCCAAGCGATACGACAATAGACAGCTCTATTCATTTTCTGTAAGTACGCTTTATTGATAATATATGCGTAAATTTGTAAACCGTCTTACGACGAGACAATACAGTACGAAGAGCGACGCGATCGATCGTAGGAAAGTGAATGAAAAATGAAACGGCGCTTCGCA